GACGGAAGATAACAGCAAACAAGGCTCTGAGGCCTCGAGGCAATAGCTGGGCGGGCTCTTTAGCTCCGGACAGGCAGGCAGCCGGGCTCTAATGGCTCTGGACAATTTATTTATTTGCTCTTTAATATGAATGAGAACATGGGGTATTTCTTTCTCTGTGTCACTAGACTCTTGGCATGCCCCAGTCTTTCTCTCATGAGCACCTGAAAGTAGTGCATGGAGAAGAACCTGCAAGTAAATGTCCTTCCAGATTTTTATTTTAAAATACTTTAAACCTACAGAAAAATTGCAGAAATAATACAACAAACTTCTGTTTGCCCCACTTCCATATCCATCTGTTGTTAATATTTTGCCACATTTGCTTTATTGCTCTCTGTATATCTATATCTGCATGGTAAGTTATTTTCATGACTGACTGTAATAATTTGTCCCCTGCTTCTTTGTAATTTTATTTTGCCATTCTTCTCATTAAGTGGTGGAATATCTCCCTATCCCTTGATTCTGGGTTGGTCTTGTGACTTGTTTTAACTAATAGAATGTGGCAGAAGTCACATTCTGGATCTTCCAAGTCTAGTCCTTAAGAGGCATCTCACTTCTGCTTTCATTATTGGATCCCTGAGCTGCCATAAGGAAGCCCAGCTATCTTGATAGAAAGGCCACATAGAGAGAGACCTTGGAGGATTTTTAGACCACAGTGGGATAGAGGCCCTGGAGGATGATAGACCACAAGAAGACAGGCCCCCATATTTTAGCTATCCCAGTTGAACAGATAGATTTGTGAGGAAGGGCGTTTTAAACCCCTCAGCCCCGCATACGTTCACATGAGCAAGCCCAGCCAACCCTATGTACAGTAGAGACAGACCATCTCCACCGACCCCTGCTCAAATTCCTGATGCACAGAATTTTGAACAACAGATAACTGTTACAGAAATATCTTTACTCTTGTTTTTTGTTCTGATTTACTTTCACTGATCATTTGCAAGTTGGTTATACTAAATACTAAATAAGGGCATTCCTAAAACAAGGACATTACTCTCATAACCACAATTCTTTTACATATCCACTACCTATATTTAAGTGAAAACTCTTTAGCTTAGTATTCAACGTCCTCTTTGTTGTGGTCTCAACATAAATTTCCAATCTATGACTAATCTGGAAAAATACTGTCAATTGGTTTGGGGATTATCATTCTATAACCAACTATGTGGGCAAGTATTATGGGTAGGTATTATTTTACATTGAAAATGATTAAATTTCCTTAATTTACAGAACAAAATATTTTAAATCCCAGTCGACTAGGATTAATCCAAAAGAAACTTCAAAAACCTTCTAATTTCCCTAACAAGGAATCAGAAATTAGATGGCTTGTTTCTATCAGTCACATTCCATAGGGTCTATTTGAGAGCATATTACAAAGATTCTTATCATTGATTCAGAATCTGTTGTTCTCTTGATTATAGTTCCAAAAATTGTATGTGTGTTCATGTATACTGTATTTATATTTTCTTTTACTGTACAATTGGGATTTTCTTTATTTACTTTCCACATAAGAAATTATCTAGCATATATGTAGAGACCAGAGGGTAGCATCAGGTCATGCTGCCATGACTTGAAACTGTTTGCTAATTAAAATCATGTTCCCCTAACTTCATTTTATAGACCTTACCAAATGTGAAAAGCAGAAACATTGACTATAGAGTTTGTTTCTCTCCATATAGTTAGGAATATTTGTTTGACTACTCTTCATGAAGAGCTATTCTCCAGGCCATTATAATAAGCCTTCTAGTCATGTATAACATCTAGAGAGTAATAGGAAATTTAACAAATTAGATTTTATATTTAAAAGAGGTGTTATAATCATCAGTGTTATAGCAAAAACTTTAAATGAGAAAAGATATGTGGTATGACTTTGTCTCTTTATATCGGAAGAATACGTATAGTCTCTGCTTCTATTAATTTTAAAAATAAAGGGGCCAACGTGCCCCGTAGCACACTCGGGAGAGTGCGGCACTTGGAAGTGCAGCGGCGCTCCTGCTGCGGGTTCGGATCCTATATAGGGATGGCCGGTGCGCTCACTGGCTGAGCACGGTGCAGGCGGCACCAAGCCATGGGTTGCATCCCCTTACCGGTCACAAAAAAAGACAAAAAATAAATTAAAATTAAAATTAAAATTAAAATAAAGGGGCCGAGCCAGTGGCACACTCGGGAGAGTGCGGTGCTGGGAGCGCAGCAGCACTCCCGCCATGGGTTCGGATCCTATATAGGGATGGCCGGTGCGCTCACTGGCTGAGCGTGGTGCAGCTGGTCTCAAAAAGGACAAATAAAAATAAAAAATAAAACTAGTGACTATCATTTACTGAACATATAAAATGTGAAAAGCATAGGTCTAAGCACTTATTCCATCTCTTATTGCTTACTCAAAGCTACGAGGTAGGTACTATTGTGTTTTCTGTTATAGACATGAGGAAATAGAACACAACAGGTGAAAAAATTTGAGAAAATTATAAAAATTATAAAATATGAATTAATTTTTGAGTATCAATGCTTATATATGTGAATTTATCTTACAGATGATGAAAATATGGATATGAATACATTGTTAGGGGTTGTGAAGATGCTTAAAGCTGAACAAAAAATTGCCATGTGAAGATTGATGAAAGCAGTTTGCTGTTTCCCATATTTTTCTCTATTTTTAAATTTTTCCTTGTAGTTTGTTAATTTAGTTTTTTATTAAATTGTTATTATTTTACCGCAAATGCATGACCGTAAAGAATACAATGACTGCTTCATACGTGTGCCCTGATGGTAATCAGATGGCATCAATTTTACCCATTATTGCTTTTGCATCATTAGTGCAAATGTCAACACAATTAAAAAGGCAAATAATGTCTTCTTATTATTATAAAAAATAGTTTTGACTTTGTGGACCCCTGGAATGATCTTGGAGACTATCTAGGATCTGTAGACTCTATTGACTCTGCTCCTGATGATGATTTAGCTTCTGACACAGCTTTCACCTCCTTTTCATTTCACAAGCTGTAGTACTTAAAAGATATGTTTCACTTTTTCTGTTCATTGAATTGATAACGTTTAAATAATAAAGATTGGCCTCCATTTCTTATTCCATATCCTTTTGACCTGTCTACTGTAGAATCTAAGGATATTAGTACTTTTAATCTTTCTCTTCAATCTCCAGAAATCTGTTGGATTTACTCTTTCATTGTTAAGGTTAATAGGATTACACTCTATTCTGTTTCATAGCCACAATTGCTTCTTCTATACTTTTTCTACAGGTTTATTCCAAAAGTTGAAAACTAATAAACAGTGCTACTATAATTACATGAATAGTTACTATTATAAATATATAATTGTATATACATATGTACAGATATGTTTCCTTACATATTTTTTTACTTTAAAAAATGGGCTAGCATTATATTCATTTCTCTCAGGGTTATGACATTTGTGCTGCCCAAAGGAGAATGTCGTGGAGTTAAGTTCAAATGGATCCTTTTTTACATGTTATCAATATGTCAATGTTATATCACATTTTAAATTTGTTCATTTGTGGACTGTGTCTTTTTTTTCTGGATTTTCTTGTGGGGTTTATTTTTATTTATTTTTTGTTATTAAATGAAGAAACTAGTGCATTACCAACATCTTCCAGTTTCTTACTCATTCCGTATATTGCATGGACTCCACTTCATTATATTGTCTATGATGATAGTTTATTTGGGAATAGAATTTTAGGTTCAAAATCATTTTCTTATAGAATTTTAAAAACATTGCTCCATTACTTATAAGAATCCAGTGTACCTAATGAGAAGTTTGATGATAACCTGCAACAACCTGCAGCTTGTTCTTTTGTGATTGTTATTTTCTTTTTTTCTATTTGGAGGCAATAATTTTCTCCTTATCTTGGAGTTCTGAAATTTCACAATGTTGGATCTAGTTGTGAATCTTTTTCATACACGTTGCTCAGAACTCTGTGGGCCATTTCAGCTTGAGGTGCTTGTGTCTCTCTGAAGACCTATTTTTTTTTTAAAGGTTTAGAAATCTTATTTTTAATTTCCAAGGGTGCTTTTTTAAAAATTCATTTTGTATAGCCTCATACTCATAAATTATGAGTGCACTATCTCTCAGAATCTCTCTGAACATATTAGAGGTCTTTGTTGGTTTAAATTATCTTTCATTTCTTGAATTATCTATTGATATAGTTAAGAATGGGAGACTGAACTGATTATGCGTGGTAGTCAGTATGAGTTTGTCTTGTTTTTGTCTTTGTAAATTGGTTGACCTTTTAGGTTTCTAGGATGACTGTCTAAGAGCCCTGAATATGAATGAAATGAATGAAATTTGTTGCCTGCCAAGTTTTGCTTTAGAGATAGCAGGTAGAGAGGCAGTAGTTAGGTACAAGGGTCCTCTAAATGGCAGAATTAGTTAGACTTTATTCTCAGTCACTAAAATCCACCTTGACAGCTATGGTTTTCTTTCTCTTGCTGAAGAGTTCTCCAATATTTTAGTCAGGAAATAATGCTGAACTGCCTTTTCCTTTGTGACTCAGAGATTTTGGAGAAGAGGAAGTTGAGGCTAGCTGGTATAAATGTTCCATAGATACACTTTCAGTTAACCTCTTTATTTTCAGTCTCCCTTCCCCACTGCCTTCTTGCTTCTATACTTAATGCTAAAACTGAGCATTGACCTTTTCTGGGCAAATTGGCTTCCTTCACACCTTTCCCTCTATCTACTTAGAGCCTCCTCTTTTGGATATTCTAGACTTTGGTTTCTCCACACTGTTTTATGTATTGTACCTACTTGTTTACTTCTTTATTATATGTCTCTCCAAAGTGGCATATAAACTACTTGAGACAGAGGCTTTCTCTGTTTTGTTTACTGTCGTATCCCTAGCACCTTAGAATAGTGCCTAGCTTATAGAAGGCACTTAACAAACAAATGTTTAATGACTGAATTAGATAAATGAACCTACTTTAATAATATAAATATAAACAATATTTCATAAATATAAAACTTCTTTTCTACTTATGCCCACATTTCTCCTTTCCTACTTATTCTCTTTGTTATTATCAGTTTATTATTCTCTCACCTCATTTTAATTGTTTTAATGGGGTCTTGGAAATAAAAGGAGAAAAACATGTCTCTTCATTGCCAGGCTTTAACATGGTATTTTCATGCCTCAAAATCATTAGAAAAATCACAATTTCTTGTTATTCATTTTTCCATTCTTCAAAGAAAAAATTGAGATCTGTAACCTGGACAACTTCCTGGATGATATGGGAATTGAGCTTACATATAAGGGACATAAAGAACTGGTAAATCATCTACCAGCCAGTGGCGAGTATTTAAATTATTTTGGTACCTTTCAAAGAGGGATTTTAGGCTTAATTATAAGAAATATTGATATTACATTTTTAATTACTATAAAAGCAGACAAAAATCTCCATTACTAAAGAATTTGTTTATGTATGTGTGTATTATTATTATTGTGATTTTTGAAATGAACATTAAGATTTTAAATGAATATTAAGATTGTTATGAAGAAAGTATTTGGACCCTAGGTGTCACCAACTAAGCTAAGTAGTCTCAAAAAGATCACTGAGGTCATTGGAAGGCCAAAACATAAGCAGGGAAAAGAAGAAATTGGGGGTAAGGATGGGGACAGTGAAAGTACAGAATGAGAAGGGAAAAATAAGTTTAAGTTCTATTTTAAAAGTTACTAAGAACAACCTATAGCATAAGTTTCATGAAGCTGTAATTTATTTAGGTTAAACAGTCATAGTAATAAAGAAAATTTCAGTTAAGTGTTAAAAGTGCCACATTATTGAGAGTAAGTAGGCAATAAATATTTGTGAAATGATGGAAAGGAGGGAAAGTAGAAGGAATAAAATAATGGTTGCTTTCAGGCAACTGTAGGTAGATGAATATGATGAGGTAGTTTGAAAAAATGCTGGTGCTACAAAAGTAGGCAAGAGGGTCTGAACTTCATCCTACCGGTAATTAGTGTTGGAGGAGCCATTGAAGATTTTCTTGGTTGAGAATGACATCATGTGTTGTCCTCTGTACTCCCAAAAGTTACTGGACCAAAGCCTATAGATTATAAATCAAGAGCTATCTTAAATTATAAAACCCCCCTTTTTTTTTTCACATATTGGGCATTGTTAGGTACCATAACAATAGCTATATTGTATTCCATTTGAGGAGAAGGCAAGTCATTTTTAAAGACTTACTGTTTGAAATCCTATTATGGTAATTGAAAGGTGGGGCATTGAAGAGGTGATTAGATTGTAGGACCGGGCCATAATGAATGGATTAAAATGGTGGTCATGAGCATGGTTTTGAGGGCTTTGAAAAGAGAGTAAATAAAGAGGTTAGTCTCTGCTCTCTCTGCTCTGCCACTTTCGCATGTGATACCCTGCTGTCACTGAAGTCACTACCAAAAAAAGCCTTCACCAGATTTATTCCCTAGACTTTGGACTTCCAGCCTCTGAAACTGTAAGCAATAAATTTTGTTTTCTTATAAATTACCCAGTTCCATGCATTTTGTTGTAAGCAACAGAAAAGGACTAATACAGAAAATTGGTACCAGAGAAGTGGGGTGTTGCTTATAACAAACACTTGAAAATGTGAAGTAGCTTTGGAACTGGATGTTAGGCAAAGGTTGGAGGAGTTTGGAGGGCTCAGAAGAAGACAAAAAGATGAGGGAAAGTTTGGAATGTCTTAGAGACTGGTTACATGGTGGCAACCAGAATGCTTAAGGAAATATGGACAATAAAGACCATGCTAAGGAATTCTTAGATGTAAATGAGAAGGAACTTACTGGGAACTGGGTCAAAGCTCAACCTTGCTGTGAACTGGCAAGGAACGTGGCTGCATTGTGTTCATGCTCTAGGACTTTTTGGAAGTTGGAACTTACGAGTTGTGAACCAGAGTATTTGGCAGAAGAAATTTCTAAGCAGCAAAGCATTCAGGAAACTACATGGCTACTGAGTTATGCAGAAAAGGCATGATGTAAAAGCCAGAATTTAAAAGGAAAGCAGAGCATAAAGATTTGGAAAATTTGCAGCCTGGCCATGTGGTAGAGAAGCAGAGAGCATTTTCAGAAGAAAAATGCAATGGTGCTAACAAGATTAGTACAAAAGAAAGGGATTATCAAGAGAAGGGGGAAAAGGCCCTGAAGACATTGCAGAAGACTGTGGGGCCAACCCTTCCATTTCAGGCCCAAAGGCCTAGGGAGACAAAATGATCTGAGGAACAGGCCTGAGGTGCCCTCCACAGGCTCATTGCCCAGGACCCCCTCAACATGCTGCTTCATGCACCTCTGCTGCTCCAGCCTTGGCTAAATTGGCCCCAGGCATGGCTGGACCCCCAGCTTTGAAAGATACAAGCTGGAAGCCTTGGTGGCATCCAAGTGGTGTTAGGACTGCAGGCTCACAGAATGCCAGAGCTGTGAAGGCTTGGGAACCTCCACCCCAATTTCAAAGGATGTGTGGAAAAGTCTCTGAGGCCCAGGGAGAGATCTGTCACAGAGGTGGAGTCACTGCATAGAGCCTTCACTAGAGAAATGATGAGCAGAAATGTGGGGTCAGAGATGAAGCAGAGAAACCCCATCAGCGCCATGCCTAGTGGAGCCATGAGAGCAGAACTGCCAAAGAGACCCCAGATTTGTAGAGTTACCAGAGTGGAACACCAGCCTGGGAGAGCTGAAGTGTGGCCTGAGAACAGGAAAGCCATAGAAGCAGAGCTGCGCAAGGACTTAGGGACCCACACCAGCATGCAGAGGACATCAAACATGGAGTCAAGGTACATGATTCCCCAGCTTTGAGATTTAATGCCTTGTCATGCTGGATTTTGGACTTGTTTAGGACCCTATATTTGTCCCACTGTTGTATCTTGGAAGTAGAGAACTTGTTTTGATTTCATAGGTAGGACTTTGAACTTTGGACTTTTGAGTTAAAACAC